ATGCTTGATTAGTTTGTACTGTTACTGTTATTGTTATTGTTATTGTTATTGTTATATATATATATATATATATATAATATATATATATATATATATATATATATATATATCTATATATACACGAGATGGTTAAAATAAAAACATTAAGGGGTCGTTTGATAGTTGTTAACTGGGTTAGATCTGATTAAGTTAGAAGCTGACTGGGTTAGAGTTTCTGACTGAATGGACTTCTGACTGAAACTTGTTGTTTGATTTTGCATCTGACTGATAATGCAAAATGACTATATTACCCTCAAACAACATTTTTTATAATAATTCATTAATTATTTAACATTTAATTTATAACATTATATTTTTAATAAATACATTCAACCTATAGTAAAAAGTAAATAAATTAAAGATTTAAAATTTGATAAATGTTGAATGATCATATGGAAACTCAAATCAAAACAACACCTCAACTCCAGATTAAATTCAAGAAAAAAAAAAGAAAAAAAATCAGATATTAACAACACAACACAAGCTTTTGATCAATTTTTAAGTTTTCATGACTCATGAGTTGCTATTGGCATTTGTCCACCTTCTGAAAGTGCAAGGAACAACATCCTTGGTTCTTGGTTTACATTGAATCTGCCATCCAATCTTGCTTCCACATTTTAATTGATATTGGACACCCTTTTATACAAAGCTTCTTCAAAGAAACACATTTTGATGCAATGCATGAAATCTCCCCATCTGGCTAGTGTTTCGCTTCCTCATAAAGCTAATATTTCCAGCTTTTGACAGTTTGTAGCGATTGCTTAGACTTGTTGAGTTAGGGTTGACCCCAATTCGAACCAGTTCTTAAAGGTAAATCAAACACCCCCTTAACAAGAGTTTGGTAATCGCTATCAAACCCTCGTTTCCTATCCTGTTTGTTCTCCACCCATCAATGTGAAGCTTTCTTAAGTACTTACAATGCTGAGCAATGGAGATAACCCACGTATTTGTACATTCCGGTGTCTTGATGGTGTGTAGAATTTCCAACTTGGAACAATTAGAGAGAGTTGAAAGCCCAACATCGGTTACCTGTAGCCTCTCGGGATGAACTTCGACCAAACACTATATGCAGTCTCTATCGTCTCTAATAATCTATCCCAATCACCTAAGCATTTGAGCAATTTCAACGTCTTCAGTTGCTGGAGAAGCAGAAGTCGGCGATGTAGAGGCCGCTGAAGAGAAATGTCGTTCAAAGCATGTTCGGGCTAGGGGCAAAGGAGTTTGAGCGATCCGTTTGGAGTCGTTGTTGGAGGAGGGTCGGTCGATGGTGACGATGAACGAAAGCGAGGAGAATGGTGGGGGATCTGGAAGGAACGAGGTGGGAGGATGAAGAAAATACGACTAAGGTTAGAGAAGGAGAAGGGCACGCGAGGGAAAAGATGAAACTCCATCTTTAGCCCTAGAGAATAAAAACTAAACCATATTGTAATACGAGTGTTACACCTTAAGAGGAAACCCACAAAAAGTTTGGGTTATTCACAAAAATTCCACCGCCCCTAATTAAAGAAATAAAAAAATTTGGAAAAAAATCACAACCATTCATTTTTTTGGATGAAAGGTTCAGATTTGTCCTCGCAGTCCTCACCGAAATTGGAGTCCTCACCCGATCCTTTTTCTATAATAGTATATATAAAAGAATTATAATTCGCCAGTCGAATCGAGAGTAAAACTCATTCATGAAGTTGTGCTATAAGAGAGGTATAAGGAAACGACCTATAAAATGACCGTTGAATGAGTATCCTTTTCACTCTAGTTACTTAGGAAACGAAAAAAATCTCACTCTAGTTACTTAGGAAAAATGTAAAATTGTATGTTAATCCATGAAACACACATCATTTCTTTGTAAGTCGGTGGTGGAGTGTGTGTGGTTAATCAGCACACCAATTCGGGACTACAAAGTGAAAATAATGAGAAAACTCGAGTTTATGATTGTTGATGAAGCATGTGTGGTTAACCGACACAATAATATGAGAACATAAATCCATCACTTGATTAGTTAGTGAAGACTAACTATTATTTTGAAGCGTGGTTACCTACCTGATTAGTTAGTGAAGACTAACTATTATTCCGATCTCTAGCTTTGCGTTGCTTCCCAATCCATCACTTGTCCAGACCTATTTGGACAATATATAAAGTTCATTGAAACTAGTCTAATCTCACCATATAGTAATCATTGTGATCAATCACCCGATCACTAACTAGACTCGGTAACTATTTGTTACCAAACTAGTCAAATTTTCAAATACAATTACCTAACTACTTAACCCCGTAAGTCGTTAACCAAATTAACTAATCTTGGTAAATTAGGGCATATAATCCTCACCGACCAGATTAACATTTCACTAATCATCGGGTTTTGGTAATAGCAGTGTATTATGGAATCCCTTAACACTCGAGTCTAACAACCCTCTACAAAATACCTACGTAAACATAATTACGTAATAACAAGATAAAAATACCTTGATTCGTCTCGTAACTCGATCTCCATACCCCGCATGCTAGTACACCTCTGCGGTAATAAGTCTCCAAAACACCTCCCGAGCCTCTCTCCCGATCGTGTGTGCCAAAAATCTTCAAATGACACAACACACATATTTATACCATCTCGAAAACACGCCACAACACCCTCCTCGCCGCACTATGGTGTGTTGTTTTCCCTAAAACCCGCCAAGTATATTGCCTAATTGCCACGTGTCTTGACCTTTTGATGCATGTCACTTCTGACTTGCCATTAAACCACATCAATGATTTGAATTTGTTGACTTTTCTCAAAGTAGCAACGTATTTTTATCTCAACTTCGAACGACCTTAAATTTCTCATACGAACTCCGTTTTTAACGATCTTTATATCCACAGAATCGTCTCAGAGTGAACTATCACTTTCTTCCACTAATTATTGTTTATTCTTACACATAAGTAGTTGTGATTAAAAACAAGTGTTACAATATAATCCAACCAACATACAATGTTAATTCTAGTTGTAAAATGCAATAAACAAACTTCTTTCTCATTTTATTTACGTAGAATGATTATATATATATATATATATATATATATATGAGTGTGTGTGTATGTGTATGTTTGTGTGTGAGGTGCAGTGCGGCTTTGTAAAATTAGAAATCGCACCGCATAAACTCTAAATCACATTATGTTATGTGGTGTGTAACATTCTGAATTTCAAACCCAATTTTTTTTTTCATTTTTAATCAAAAGCAATCATTCCAACTGGTTGTGAGACCTTACTATAAAAGGTATCCCCTGTCCGCTAGAAAAGCTAAGTTGTCTCAGTCACTCACTCTCTCACCATCACACCTCTCTCACGTCGCTAACTTAACTTTCGTATCGTTTTCACGAGATCCCCTCCCGAAGAACGGCTGACGGTGTGTTTTCTGTTTTGATCTCGGATCTTCACCGAAGCAACCAATCTCATATCTTCACCAAAGCAGCCAGAACCAGAAGTCGAACCGAAAATTTGAGTCACATCATTCCGTCATCCGTAAAACGATGATAATATCACCCTAGTTAGGTATGAAATTAAGATCATCAATATCATCCAATCGGCATGTCATGATAATCAATTAAACATAATACAACATTAATTTAATATACACAGACAATCTAGAAAAAGTTAAAGCAAGTTGGCATTTTTGGTTCTAAGTCTTATTAGAAATCTTCCCTAATAAATAAAAATGATTTTGTCACTTGTCATCTTCTAATGCATTATGTACATGATTTTTTCTTCTTACTTTTTTTTTCCATATGTCATTTTATGATTTCTTCATTTTATTAAATTTAACACACTATTTAAATGTAAGAATAAATATATATCAATTTCATTAATAGACTTTCTTTCTAATTTTAAAATGACTAAATTAAAGCTTCATTAGTTTCCTTTGTTTATTTATCTAAATTATTTGTTTAAATTTAAAAGTGAAAAAAAACACTTTAATTTTAATAATTTAACACACACACACACACACACACACACACATATATATATATATATATATATATATATATATATATATCCTTATAAATTTAAACTTTTTAAATGTTTAGAATTTCATATCTAGTTTTTCTTTTAAATAAATTCATGTAATACATTGATCTCACACATAGTGTATATAAAATTTTGAAATAGTTTATAAATAAATTAAAGTATACATACGTTGCCATTTTAAAAAATAAGTTAACATTTTTTACCGAAATTTACATACATATTGTATACTCTTATTCTATTAAAATGACATCCTCCCTAATAAATGAAAATAATTTTGTCAATTGTCATTCTCTTATGTATTATGTCACATGTCATTTTGTGGTAAACTTATATTAAATTATATATATATATATATATATATATATATATATATATATATATATATATATATATATGTGTCATTTTGCATATTTTTTCCATTTTATCAAATTTCATATAATACTTAATTATAATAAATGTATACCCAATTCATTAATGCAATTTTCCTTATAATTTATAATTTCTAAATTGAATCTAATTATTTTAGTTGTTTATTTATTTAAATTTAAAAAAATAAATAAACACTTCAATTTTAATAATTAAATATTTCTCTTTTTTTTTTGTATAAATTTAAAATTTCTAAATTGTTAGATCTTTATGTTTATTTATTTTTTATTTTTTTAATAAATTCATGTAATACATAGGTATCACAACTAGTGATTATGTCAAACGAGACTACTCGGGAAAATTAAAAGTAATATTTTATTGATGGTAAATATTATAAGAAATTTATTAAACATTCCACATTTAAATATATATAAATATAAATTTATAATGTTAACAATAAAATTCATAGATATCATATCATATGAGAATTATAAAGTAGTATAACTAAACAATGATAATTATGTTTTATCAAACATTCCCATAAAACAACTTTATTATATAACTTAAACATCATACCATAATTTTATGATTCCTATTATTTTGAGCGTTCAAAAAATATGGGTAATGGTCCATCATCGCAATCTACATCGACTGGAAATTCATCAATCTCATCCGTCCAAAGATTCATCTCATCATAATCAACGGTCCTCAATGCAAGCCACACAACACTACTACACTTGAAGCCCGACCCAAATGCAATTTGCCATACCCGGTCCCCTTTTTTGACCCGACCCTTTGCCTCTGCGTACGCCAGTTCGTACCAAATAGAGCTGCTAGAGGTGTTGCCGAACCTATACAGCGTCATTCTAGAAGATTCCATGGCGTTCTCATCAAACCCTAGGTTTTTCTGTAATTCGTCTAGCATAGGCTTCCCGCCAACATGCGGGAGGAAGAGTTCGACGGATTTGCTATAATCTGGTATATAAGGTTGGATATCCGCCTTTGGCCGGAGTTTTCTGGCGATGTTATTTGTTAGGTACATGAGTTTTCTGACACCGGAAGGATTAGCTTACCTAGCGCGGTTACGTTTGATTTGACGACGGTGGATGCGGCATTGAAGAGGTCTTTATTAACAGTGATGCCTCTTCTCCCGGCGTCGTCTTCTTCCTGAACGATGCAGTTGTACGACCTGTCCGAACTCGATTCGTTGGTGTGTACAGTGTGGAGGAGTTTGTATTTGCAATTGTTGTGATCAGAAGGACGATTTGAGAGGAGGATCGCCGCTCCGCCGACGCGGAACAGGCAGTTGGTAAGGAACTTGGAACGATCGTCTCCAAGGTAACAGTTCTCGGTAATGCTCTCTGTACTCATCACCAACGCATAGGAGTCATGATGCACCTGTGAAATATCACATATCTTGTTAGGTTCTCTGCATTTTCTCGTTGATATCAAATTATAGACCGTTAGAAATCCATTTTATTCATATTACACAATCAAACAATCTAACAAACACACATAAAATTTAAATCAGGATACTGGATAGGAATGTGACGATGATAGATCATAGACGCTGATTGACGTATTGAGGAGCTTAGCATTAGCAGTGTTTACTGTTTAGCATGACAGATAGATAGATAATAAGCAAAGTAGGTGATCAGATTCTAAGTTGCCAAAAGCTTAACCTGAAGGAGCTGTTCTGCAAGTCCTATTGCCATGAGTCCTGCACTGCATCCCATACCAACAACATTATAGCTGATGATGCTTTCTTTAAGCTTATATTTGTTCACTATCATGCTAGAAAGAGATGGCATAGTGTTATAAATACAACAATTCACAACCAGTATCCCAATGTCATCACATCGTACCCCTGTTTTAGCCAACAACATGTCTATCGATCCAAAAACAGACAATTCCATTTCCCTTCTTGATTCTTTCATGCAGGGGTCAGGAATATTTGCCAGGTATACCTCTGCTAAATAGGTCGAGTCACCAATTCCTGATTTGCCTAGAACCTTCCTCATGAAATACACAGTTTCTTCTGAGAAATATCCACTGTGCTTTGCTTTGTCGAGCATGAACTGTTTTGTGCACTTTTGAGCATCCGGAGGCTTGTAACATGCGAAGTCTATTAAGTAAACTCCACATGAACTTCTCTTGATCATGTAGAAACCTAACAAAAGAAGACTCATGAGTAAGGTTATTAAGATAAGTTTTGGTGCAGTATTGAAGCTAGAGTACACATGGTCTTCTTGTAGATACTTCAAAGTGAAGTTGATAGTAGGCATAGTGTTTTGAACTTAATTAGACAACTAAGAAATCTTTTCAATCAACAATGTGTTTGTTTACTGATGAAGGTTTTCCAATGAAACTTTCATAAGCCTGGTTATCAAACTTATAATAAGTAGTGGTTGTAGACTTGTAGCAATATCACTTACTTTTTCCATGATGGTGATGCATAAAAAGATGCATGAACACAAGCGGAAAAAAGCCTGATGCAGTCTATTTTTGTAAACAGAAACACTATTACATTTACTTGTCATCTTCTTGCTTATACTTTTGACAAATATAAAATGGTGTGTAAGAGCATAATCTTTTTCTTCACATCGCCCCCCTTAAAAAATTACTTTCTTGTTATAGACATGTTAGCTTTTATTAGACATGACATTATGAGTTATTATATGCATGTGAAATTGTTTGTGAATATGCAAACTGATTTGTGCAGAATCCCATCACCTTTTTTGTGATTATTAAAATCTTGAAACGTATTGATGGAATGATTCTCCATGTGCAAATGCTGATATTGCATTTACATCAACATGATAAAGTAGAAGAGTTTAAATCCTTTGGGCTAATGTTTTTAAGTTATTGACATTGTGTTTTGTGGAAATATTAATAATAGTGGTTGGACGTGTATAGTAAGTTGTTAGTTCATTGGCTTCCAAAATCTTTAAAAAGGTTTCACTTGTGTATGAGTTGGGGACAATCTGTCAATTCCTTGTACTTTGTACTTGTTTAATCTGTTAATGTGTTGTTAAGTGCAAATGCCTAGGTCTGGTTCTTTTTTTTTTTTTTTTTTTTTTTTTTATTGGGTTTTTCTTACTAAAGTATCATCATAGTTATTCCTGTGAGACTACAAAGAAAAGACATTATTGTTTGCAATAATGAGTGATTTTGGATAAATTGCGTGATTGTAAGTGCAAAAAAGAACCATTGTATAAGGAATTGTTTGCAATAATGTTTTCCTCTTCATTATTGCAAAAGCAGAGGTTTATTTACTGTTAAACATGGGTATGTGGATCGTATTCGTTTGATGTATAAGGAATGGGAACTGGTGAAATCATTTGGTTTTATAATTGTTACTTTTGTGTCGGGCTGGAACTGGGCTTGAGCTATACTGGGCTGCTCAACATTGGCTAATGCTTATCCGGATAGGATTTGGACCATTTCTGGGCCAAATAGCCTGGATCATATCTTAGCTGTCCTAAACCGGTCTTGGCTAGGTTAGGCCGTTAGGGTGTTATTCGGTTGTTTCTTTGACTATTCTAAATTAATTGTGACCAAACCGAATAAGATATAACTTAATTGGTTTTGATTTATTTGATTTGGTTTACCGGGCAAACTGAATAAGGTTCTATATGTTTTATATGTTTTAGGCAAAATATTTTTGGTTCATAAACCAGGAAACTAAAATAGCTTTTTTTTATTTTAGGAGTAAATTACACGAATGGTCCCTATGGTTTAGGGTAATTTGTATGTTTGGTCCCTAACTTATTTTTTTAACTCGGAAGTTCCCTACTGTTTGTTTTTGTTACAAGATTGGTTTCTGTCTTATTTAAAAAGATTATTTCACCATTGATTTTTTAATTTATTTAAATAAACACCCACCCCCTCATCTTACCTTATCTACCCCTTCAATTTTCCCTATTTAAATAATAGTCTTTTTTAGGTAAGATAGGGACCAAGTGCGTAACAAAAACAAACAGTAGGGACTAAGCTCGTAACAAAAACAAATAGTAGGGACCTTTCGAGTAAAAAAAATAATTTAGGGACCAAGCGCAAATTACCCCAAACCATAGGGACGATTCGTGTAATTTACTCTTATTTTAGAGTAAATTACACGAATGGTCCCTATGGTTTGGGGTAATTTGTGTGTTTGGTTCCTAACTTATTTTTTTAACTCGAAATGTCCCTATTGTTTGTTTTTGTTGCGCATTTGGTCCCTGTCTTACCTAAAAAGACTATTTCGCCTTTGATTTTTTTAATTTATTTAAATAAACACACTTCAACCTCATCCCCACCTCACATTATCTTACCTAAAAAGACTATTTTAATTTATTTAAATAAGGGCATAATAGTCCTTTTAGGTAAGACAGAGACCAAACGCATAACAAAAACAACCAGTAGAGACTTTCCGAGTTAAAACAAAAGTATTGCTAAATGTCACCTAGACTACATTTATATACCACCTCTCAACAATGAATATATAACGTCACAGTCATTGTACGAATGGTTAATGTCTGATTATGCAACAAGTACCTGCAGTTTGAGAAAAGTTAAAATATCCCCTAAAGTTTGCTAAAAGCCTAAAACTTATTCGTATATTCATACTAAAAACTAAAACAAAACTAAAGATATTAATCAAGGTCTTATTCGGTTGACCCAAATTAGAGGAAAATGAACTGAGTCCAAACCGGTATTCGGTTGACTGAATTGCCAGAAAATCAAATAAACCAAAGTGTATTTGGTTTGGATGGGTATTTGGTTTTGGTTTTTTATAACATCCTGAAAAACGTGTGTGTGTATTGCAAAAACACGAAGATTGAAATTTATACAGTTTATGAACAATTTAATTATGATGATTATACATTTAAAAGCGGTCTTGTTTTTAGGACTTTGTTTTTGACATTCAATGTATCGTTTTGTCAGGTTGAAAAGTTCGACGAAGTGCTGTATACGTATGGTATCATTTCTTTCGGAGTATTGTAGGTAGTTTTCTAGGTTGGGGGACCAAATAGGCCCTGAATTTATTTAATTGGTTTAGGGTGTATTCGACAAAAGTAGCCGGAAGCTGGTAGTTGGTTGAAAGTAGCTGGAAGTTGTAGCTTTTATTTGTTATATGAATGTTTGATAAAAGTAGTTGGAAACTTTTAAAATATGTAAAATTATATAAAATGACAATTGTTTAAAATAAATAAATATGTAAATATATTTTTAAGGGCAATTCTGAAAATTGATATAAAAGATTAGTAGCGTTTTGTTAAACATCATATGAAATAGCTTTTAGATTTGAAGCGTTTTGTTTAAACTAAAAGCTAAATGTCCGTACTGTCAAAGGAAGTTTTTTGTTTAAACTAGAGCGTTTTGTCAAATGCTCATGTTCCCACGTCAACATATATATATATATATATATATATATATATATATATATATATATATATATATATATATATATATATATATATATATATATATCTGTCAAAATTAAGTCATTATTTAGATAGCGTATAATATAAGTTCTTAAATAAGCCTTTATCTACAAGTAGAGATTTAGTATTGACAATAGTAAATTTTTATATTTATACTTTTTACCTTTAAATAATTTTGATCTAATAGTTTCCATTCATAATTTTAAAATTAAGTTATTGGTATTTTCTAAGTTATGATTTAGGTCCTTTTACAATATTTTAAAGTTATGTTTTTGGTCCCTTGTATAGTTTCTATTTTATAGCCTTCTTTTTTATTAATTCCTTAAGATACATTTTCAAGTTTTATTTCCGTCCATCTCCTTCATACATAAGTTTTTGGATCGAAACTTTAATTTAATACTTTTGTGATCTACTTGATATGATATAATCGACGATGACATTTGGATTGTTGACATTTGTAATTTACATTCTATGTATGAATTGAAAAGGAGTTACTCCGCACATTAAAGTTATTTTTTCATCTCTTACATAATTCTTTTTATAGTTTTCGATATCGCACTGCGTTTTTCAACATAATGGGTTCCGCAGCATCGCGTGGAGGATCCAAACCCTAGTTATTTATATAAATATGTCCATGTAGACTAGTCCAAGTAAACATAGTCTTTGATGGATATATTTTTGGCCCAAACATGTCTTGAGTTTATTTAATTGGTTTAGAGACCCAAGTAGTTTTCTAAACCGGTTTACAACACCGATGATGTTCGAGAAACATTTTGCCAATTTGTCATCCACGAAGTCATTCCAATCGACCACTTCGACAACCCTCGCCTTACGGGAATAATCAAAACGAAACTCCAACCGCGATATAGCGTTGTAAATCGTACTACTCTTAGACGTGGTGTTATTAGATTATGGGCACAAGCGAAATCGAAGATAATTGTAGGCTTAAACTATAATGATTCCCTTTCACTTATTTGTGACATTTGGATCTCCCCCATGAAAATGCAAATTCCTACTTAGCCGTCATGGTTTCATCATGAATCATGGCTATTGATGAAACAAATCATTGAATTTAAATTATTTGGTTATCCGTCTTCCGGAGCAAATTTAAGAAAAAATTTACTAGATGTTATAATGAAATATAAATTAGAAGATAAAGTTTTTTTCTATTTCACTCGATAATGCTTCGAACAATAAAAATGCCATCAAAAGACTACAACTACAATCGAAACCTTTTTTAGATGATATATATATATATATATATATATATATATATATATATATATATATATATATATATATGGTTACCGTTATGAAACTCAAGTTTTCAAAATATATTTGGAAAATACCTTTGATTTTGTTGCTACCACAACGAACTTCGGCTCCTAATAGCGAATTGGACAATTATATGACATCAAACTTTTTAATCCACTTTTCCTTTGAGGATTTTCAAAACCTTAACATGTTAGCTTGATGGAAAGAAAAGAAAGTTTTCGATTCTAACCGCCCTAGTCCGAGATATACTAGCTGTCCAAGCTTTCATGGTAGCTTCGGAATCAACTTTTTCTCTTAGTAGTAGGGTAATATAGGAACGAAAGGCACAACTCACAACCCAATCGATGCAAGTATGTGTTTGCTTGAAGGATTACTTGGATGGCTTTAAGAGGACACAAATTTTTGTTTCCCTCAAATGACCGCTTTTACCACTCGTTGAATACTATATTTATGCAGAAGAGCTTGTACAAGGCGTAACGCCTTTAATGTCCGAAGTAGATAGGGGTGAACCGAAAGAATGATTGGATAACGATTTCTAGTAGCTATTTCATGAAGACTACCACTTTGAAGGCTATAATTCATACTATTTTAATTTGGCGTTTATGTTTTTATGTAATTATGCTTCTTTTTATGTATTTCTAAGTTCAAACCATGTTGGTTTATGTATTGCAAATATTTTCTAGGCTTATGATGTTTATGTATTGTAAGTATTTACTTGAATGACCGTTTTGAGGACTATAACTCTTATTATTTTCAATTTCAAGGCTTATGTTTTTATTTAATTCTTAGCTTAAATTAAGCTTTTTGAATGTTAGTATTATGTATTACAATTTGCAAGTAATATCTTGGTATACTTAGATTTATCATACAAGTTGTGTGTACCACACAAATCAGATTTGAAAATCTCATTGTCAATAATTTTGTAAAATCATATACTTGTGTTTATGATCATAGCATTATCATACAGTTTTTATAATATTTGATATTTTTTAAAATTAAAATATTAGTTTGCACATCCGTACAAACATTTCATCTAATCAAAATCCAAAAAGGTCGGTAATATGGGTTCGGACTTTGGAAAAGCATGTGACCTCCTCACCATTAGACAAGATTCACAAAATCACTCCCCTCAATTTCTTCCCCTTTGTCTTCCAGTCTGAATTCGAGTTTCAAAGAAAGGAAAGAAATAAAAACTTCGAAGTCCCTTTTTATTTATTTTTTTACAAATTCTTCCCCTTTTACTGCAATCCCATCATCATTTCCAAAAACCCAGATCTTACTTCACCCTAAACACGAAACCCTTTTGGCAATCTTCCACACAATTAGATTTTTGAGATCCCTTCTCCTATTTGGTTTCTCTCTTCATTACGTCCAGAACACGTTCTGTATATCTGTTGTTGATTTGCCCTGTTGTGGAACGCTTTCGAGATTTACATATATGGCATTTGGAAGATAGCACGTTCATTTGGTTCAGATCAATGTCGAAGACTTTGTGGTGGATCGTTTCCTTTTTTATTTTCTTATGGTTATCCCCTCCTCGGGTGTTTGGAATTGATGATTTCAATCAAGCGTGAGTGGTCTCCAATCTATTGCGTCTTTATTATATCGAAAAGTGCATGAAAATATTGAGATGTGGGTCAATGCGTATGAGATTTACTTTTGACTTTGGATCTCCAATGGGTTACTTTAAGCTTCGTATTCGTATGGATTTTGTATTGTTCTTGATATAAATGATTACAGTATACAAAGTTATTGACATCAAAACCCTGCAAATCGGACAATGTTTTGAGTTTAATTAGCAATATATATTTCATGTCTACTTTGCATGTGAAAGCTCTAGCTAGGGTTGACACACAAAGTCAAAGTGCAAATTGTTAGCTTAATTTTTGGAGCTCAAGTTGGAGGTTTATCTATTTTATTTTAGCTTTGTAATGACCATTCTTTTCTTCTACAGGTTTCCTATTGTAGAACCTGATCCTGGTCATACAAAACTTCGTCTTTCTACTGAAGGACTGGAGGCTATTAGAAGAATAACAAATCCTATTGCAGCAGTTGCTGTAAGCTTTATATTCAAAGCCATTGATGTTTTCTAGTTTCATATTTTATAAATCTCTATGAAAAATCCATTGGTGACTGGCTTCTGACATTCTTTCTAGGGCTAATAAATGCAAAATGGTCATTCTTCCTCTTGTTAATCTTAACTACAAATTCTTTTATCACTATCTTATTAGGTGATTGGTCCATATCGATCTGGAAAATCTTTTCTGCTTAATCAGCTTCTATCACTTTCTTGTTATGAAGGTATAATCATCACTTTTGCAAGTTTATGCCACAAATAATTTGATTTTGTTTGACAGAATTTTATGCCCTGAAGTTTGATACTTTGCAGGTTTTGGTGTTGGCCACATGCGTGACACTAAAACAAAAGGTATTCAATTACTTTACTATATAATAATCAAATACAACATTTCTCTTTTGTATATACATTCTTTTCCAAATTTATGTATTTGTGAAAACAGATTGTGGACATTTTGGTATTTGATTATTAGTCATAGACTTTTTTAGTAAACTATATGCCAAATCAAACTGAAATTCCACAATTATAAATTTTTGGTTCAAGTATAAATGTAAGATTTCATTTATGGTTTTTTAGGAATATGGGTATGGGGAACACCAGTTGAAATGGACATTGATGGAGTTAAAACCTCAGTCTTTTATCTGGATACAGAAGGATTTGAAAGTATAGGGAAATCAAATGTCTATGATGACAGGTGTTTGTCTTTTTCTTGTTGTTTATACATTATAAATTATGAAATTTATAAATTATAATCAATGGATTATCTTTTCTGATCCACATTTCTTCAGGATATTTGCTCTAGCAACGGTTTTAAGTTCAGTGCTTATCTACAATTTGCCTGAAACAGTTAGTTTCATCTTTAAAAACTGCTTCTTTTATTTATTTGTTTTTTAGTTTTTTCAAACTAGAAATGTAAGCCTGTTGCTATTTTTTTTTTTTTTTTTTTTTAATTATTTTTCAGATACGTGAAGCTGATATATCCCGATTGTCTTTTGCTGTTGAGCTTGCTGAAGAGTTCTATGGAAGGTTGGTTTTCATTTGAATTTGACAATGATGATCTTATTGTTAAAAACTTAAAATCATATATCATGACCAAAACTGATTTTAGTTTTCTTTTTTTTTTGGTTGTGAATCTACAGAGTCAAGGTAACTTTTGAACAACTTGGATATCTTCTTGTTTATATTACTAAAGATAGTAAGTGTGGTCAAAATTTTGGTTTGACTTTTTGATATAATTACAGGGGCAAGATGTGGCATTTGAACCTGCAAAACTCCTGTGGCTTATACAACGTGACTTCTTACGTAAGTTATTACAACTCCATTTGTATAAAAATTCATAACTTTTTTTTTTTTACATATCTTAAATATTTTATAACAGAGGGGAAGTCTGTAAAAGAAATGGTGGATGAAGCTCTACAACATGTTCCTAACTCTGAGGGTTAGCTTTCTTCTTTTTTTCATATATGCTACTCGTAATATTTTGTAATGTTTACTAAAGGGTAAAAAAGTAATCTTGGATTAAGTTCTTTTCAAACGGGAGAATGTTGTATTTGTTATGGAATCTTAGAAACACATCTTGTTTTGCAGGTGACAAGAATATTGCTCAGGTACAACTCATCAGATGTTTGTCATTCAGATATTAATTATATAAAGTGTAAATTGTAAAACACTTATTTATGCTAAAAATTTATGTTGTGTTGAAAAATTAAAATAGGTGAACCAGATTCGAGACTCTCTAGCTATCATGGGTGATAATAGCACAGCTTTCAGCTTACCACAAGTAACTTCTTTACATACATTAATAAAAAAAAATCATTAATTTTGACATTTTGTCTGATAATTCTATGTCACATTTCAATCAGCCACATCTTCAAAGGACAAAGCTTTGTGACTTGAAAGATGGGGAACTTGACCAAAATTATGTCAAAAGGAGAGAAGAATTAAAAGAAGTTGTTAAATCTGTTATTCGCCCAAAGATTGTTCAGGGAAAATCCCTTAATGGAAACGAGTTTGTATCTTTTCTAGAAAAGGTGCCTCCTCTTTATCTCTAACTTTTTTTTTTTTTTATATTGATTTAGAAAATAAAACGTATAAGATAATATAATTGATTGTTTGGTTTCAGATTTTGGATGCTTTGAACAAGGGGGAGATTCCCTCAACAGGGTCTCTTGTGGAGGTGTTCAACAAGAAAATCTTGGAGAAATGTTTGAAGTTATATGAGGATAATATGAGTAAAGTGTCTTTACCCATTTCTGAGGATTCCCTATTATCCATTCATGGAGCTTCAAGATCAGAAGCTTTGAAATCTTTTGATGAACAACATTTTGGTCGTCATCATGCAAAGAAATCTGTTGAACAGCTTGATGAAGACATTGAAAAGGTAATAATTTTATTTTTACATGAGTCAGAAAAGTATATTATATAATAGTTGTAAATTGTAATAATTTTATAACATTTGTTGGCAGATGTTTAAGAACTTTATGATGGCAAACCAATATCAGTCATCAAAACTATGTGAAGCACTCTACACAACATGTGAAGACAAAATGGATCAACTTCAAGTCCTTAGACTCCCATCAATGGCCAAATTCAATGCAGGGTTTCTTCACTGCAACCAAAGCTTTGAAAAAGAATGTGTGGGGCCCTCAAAATCCATATACGAACAACGCATGGTCAAGGTTATAGCATATTTCCATATCATATCTTTCAATAATTCCATGTTAATAATGTTTTCTTTAGTATTTATAACTTATATTTTAATGATAAAAACAGATGATGGGAAAGTCGAGATCTTTATTCATAAAGGAATATAACCACAGATTATTTAATTGGTTGGTGGCATTCTCCCTTGTGATGGTGATTGTAGGGAGATTTGTTATAAAATTTATATTGATAGAGATTGGGGCATGGGTTATGTTCATCTTCTTGGAGACTTACACACGAATGTTTTGGTCACCTGAGTCTCTTTATTACAATCCTGTGTGGCATGCCATTGTGGCAACTTGGGAGACACTTGTTTACAGCCCTGTTCTTGATTTAGACAGGTAAATAAATAATTTACTAATTTTTCAATCTCAAAAATCTTGCAATTGGATTTTTATTTCAAGAAATACGCAAGTATGTTGCTATTTGTTGGATTTAAGGATGTATAAAATGACAGATGGGCGGTGCAACTTGGATTGGTGGCGGTGATATTGTTGGTGTACTGGCGGTGCCACGGGAGGATGAAACACAAACACGGGTCGAATTCGTTGTTACCGTTGTACACTGACGGATCAAAAGTTCGGGATAGATCAGAATAGAGCATCCTCATCCTCAGGCGAAGAGCTTTTGACTTTTTTTTTTAAAGCAAAAATGCAGGAAGAAGGGTCTGGTGTGTGTGTGATGTGGGTTGATGATACTGATATATATATAAAGGTGGTTGCCTTTTAATTAAAAATATAAATTTTATAGAACATGTAGGAGGAGGATTTGGTGAAGGAGAGAAGTGGGATGTATGTAACTTTAGCAATTCAAATTATTTGTATGATGATTGATTGATTGTACATTACACGCACCCATATTTCCTCTACTCATATATTATGTTCTATTATTGATTGTTGTGACCTTATTTTTCAAGATGTAATTTCAAGTTTTTGTTTTTTTCTTGAGACATGTCATTTAACCATGCAAGATTTTGAATGATAGTAATTTAATAATAATAATAAGACAAAATTATGTAAATGGTCCATGTGTTTCCCGAATTTGCATGTTTCGCCTTTTTCTTGATAAACATGGTCTCTGTGCTTTTAATTTTTCTTATGTGATTGGTTTTTGATCCGTATAAAATAAAATGACTTGTATATTGTAACGTCTTTAACAAAAAGTACACCCAAAATCTTCTATTTATAAAACATGAACCAATACAAATTCGGTGTACATTCATGTCACAAATCAGTACAAGTATTTATCAAAGAGGATCTTACAATAATCTAGTATAAGAATCCAAGTCGTGCGTTATTAACTTCATTTCCTTCTACTCATCTACTTGAAAGACAAACAACAAACAAATAAGCTACAAAGAGTTCAGCGAGCAACCTGCTTACAAAATATAAATTAGTTATACAAGTAAATATATCAACACATTCTCAATCATATATTCCTAAGTGCCTTCCAATCATTCAATATTCAGTACGACATTACTGACGCCAAGTCCGCCATTTATTATTCATACTGAACTTTTAGTAAGCAAGTCACCATCAATTACACTCAACATCTCCTCAGTAGTAATCAATACTACATATATTACAACTCCTCCAACCAACATTTCTCTTCATGACATTGAAGTCGTCTAAACTTTCACAACAACATATTCTTTTGCAAGTATAGTATTATAACCACCAAGGTTACTATAAATTTACAATTCTCCAAATGATAATATTATAGCCACCAAGGCTATTATCAAAATATAATATTAACATACAAGCATTTATACATTCTCATAACGCCGTGGTGTTACAGTCACCAAGACCACCACTAATAACAATTATCAATACGTGGTGTTACAATTACCAAGATCACCACAAATAATGGATCCTAATACCATGGTACTACGTCACCAAGACCACCACTAATAACTATTTTCAATATCGTGGTGTTATAGTAAATCCAAACCATCATTAATATTAGTCCATGATATTATAGTTACTAAGACTATCATGACTAACATTATTTCATCAGGTTGACCTTTCCAACACTAAGCATACCACAATAACCATTATTTTCATCAGCGATACATACTGGTAATTAGAACACTAAGCATACTACTAACAAGTAACAACTAATTCCCAATAGACATACAATGTCCCTAACCATGCTATCAAACATTCTACTTGCCCAGAGCGCATAATAGACTTACAATCACGTTAGCTACAATTAATTTCTATAATCTCTTTTGATAATAATTAATATTATATAAATTACTAATTCATCGGTAATGGTATTACAGTCACCAAGACTACCATCACTCTTCTGCAACAGTCCTTCAAATATAGCACTATAGACACTGAGTCCGTTATACATTTGCATTTTTTTACTGATGATATTACAATCACCATCATAAACTAATAATGCTACTCATTTCCATAATTATACTACTCTAGAACTTCTAAATTCCCATTACCAATTCATATTTCTTAACAATATACAAGTATGGCATTCAAACACTAAGTCCGCCATTGACTTACATTAACCAGTATCAATCTACAGGTATAACGTTCAGACACTAAGTCCACCATTGACATGTAATTCTCCCATACCAAAAGACAAGTATAACCCTATGGGTTCTAATCCTAGAATAACAATATTAATCATGTTGATATATTTGACTCAAGAACTTGGGAGGGTCTTACTCCGGGCATGATGAAAATTTTGGTATAGAAAGGTCCTAAAAGAGATTACATTATTGTTAAGGCCCAATATTAAATTTCTAGTATACTAGAATTCTACCAAAAATAAAAAAAACCTTGTCAAGCTCTTTTGAATATACTAGGCATTCTCTCTAAAATGCTTAGGATATTCAAAAGAGCTTGACAAAGTTTTATATTTTTGTCATAAAATACTTAGAAAAGGACTCCCGAAAGGTCATTTGGATAAGAAAGGTTATGTGGATTCACAACATCTTAGTAATAGAATTAAGTCTATTTTGATAATTGTTGACTGAGAAAGTGTTGATCGGGAAATGTCTGTCTGGGTAAGAAATCATGATTGAGTAAGAAACCATGTTCTTTGATTGTACATCTAACTGAATGTGTTGACTTATAAAAAATGACCATTTTATCTTGCTGCTTGATTGTACATCTGATCAGACACCTGATTTCAAACCAAACACATACGGAAAAATACAATAGCAACAACAAAGGTCCAACATACATAATATATACTTATCTATAATATATAACAACAATATTGTTCTTGTTATTCACATGATAAATAGTGCATCTCATTAACATAAGGTAATGAAGAAGGACAAAAGAGTTCTTGATATATATATATATATATATATATATATATATATATATATATATATATATATATATATATATATATATATATATAGATGTCCAAACAAATGCTAAAAGAGGAATAAATTAACTTGATATAAGCATAAAAAAATCAATAAAACCAAGTTAGAATAGGGATCAAGAAACAAACACCTTCATTATCTATGTCAAGATTACATTGAGAAATTTACAGGGGGAAAGAGAAAAGATGATATACAAAGAAGAATTATGCTACAGATGTATAGAACAAAAGAAAAACATGAAAATTCGAATGAAAAAAAAAAGAATCAGATTACCCTTGCGAACTCCACTGGATCCAACACAATGAAGCTTGCACCTTTATCACTCCCTGAGATGACCTGGTTTAATCACGCGCCATCCACCAAATCATAGGTTTTTGATAAAAATGGCGGAATTGGTGTCCCTATTAAACAATCAAGGGGTTCGGGGAGATGATGAACATCCCCTTCATCAATCTCTACGACAACATTTTATGTGGTCAATTATCAATGACAAGTGATTAGACAACAATATATCAATCAGAAAAAATCAAAATATGAGATGGAAATTTTCGAACTCTGTACATAAAAATACTAGAAAACAGAGTAACTTCATTGAGAAATTTTCAGAATTCAATGAACAAGGTAACGCCATAAGAAAAATGACCAACAACTCAAACATACTACAGTTTCTATACTAATTTATACAAAGTAGAATAATCAATTAGAACAATCATAAATCAAAACCCATATATTATCAAAAAATCGGAACTGGTGAGAAGAGGAAAAAGGAAGAAACGTACCTGATGAGAAGAGGAAGGAGGCTTCAAAAAATCGAAACTGATTAGAAGAGGATCGGCGACGATTGCTGGTTGCGGGAAAAATGTCGGCGCTAAAGGATGAGAAGAAACAATGGAGGCGCTGATTTCTTCCTTCAGGGCAAGGGTAGAATTGGAAACTCTTCTCCCTTTCTCAGTCAGTCGATTTCTTCCTTCTTACTCGATCATACATTTATTTTCGAATCAGACACCCAAATTTAGTTTATCAAACACCTTTAACTGACCGAGTCAGCAAAAAATATATGACCTGACTCGGTCAGACGCATATCAACCAGGGTCTTAAAGAACATGCATTGGTTTAGATAATCTCACAAATGCATTAAATAATGAGAAATAATGAAATAACTGATAAAGTGGCATATGATTAATTTAAGAAATAAAGGGATCATTAGAAACAAGTACCGGAAACTTTTTGGGAGCGGTTGATATGTTGGAAGAGTTTGACCTAATTATGAAATATTGAAAGAGCATGTGCAACTTATATGTAACGCCCGGAATTTTGAGGAACAATTGTTGGGAATAAATTCCCTTTTGAGGATTGGACACAACATGTTGGAGGAACCAACACGGCGTGTCTAGATAAGAAGAAGCGCGACTTTCATTAAGGTCAACACGGTGTCTTGCCTCTTGGAACACGGCGTGTTGACGGCTGGAATGAAAACCCTAATCTTCCGGGTTTTTGCTCCCTATTTAAAGGAATAAGGAGGCTAATGTTTGTCCATTCTCAGCCCCTCAAGCATGAAAGAAACCCTAATCATCTTCCTCCATTTTTAGAGCTAGTTTGGTGCTTTTTGAAGCTAAGAAGGAAGAAGGGGGAGGAAGGAAACAAAAATCAAGCAAACAAGTCCCCATTCTCCATCATGGCACTCTTCTGGACCTTTTTAAGTGTACAAGACTCGATTTTAATCGTTCCAAGTTGTTAGATCTTGAGTTTTGTTCCTTTATCTTCTTATTCTTGAATGATGGAATAGTTAGACCTCATAAAGTTGACAACTTTATGAATCTTCAGGTCAAGAGGAGTTGGTAGTGTTTTGGATCTGGATTATAATCAAGTTTTGATGTCGTGCATAGAGATTAGGTCATGAATCCTCATTTTGACCTAATACAGGTTCAAGACATGCATTGGACATGTATGTCTATAAAGCACCAACCTTTGGGACCGTTTTGGTGTTTGAATCACTTCTGGAAAGGATGGACTTTGGACTTTGAGGATTAAGTGCTTGTTGGTTAAGCTCTTGCAATATTAAGCTTTATGGATTGAATTTTGAACTTTTTGGGTAGTCCTAATGGATAAAGTTGGAAACTTTATCCTTCTGAACCACATTATGGACTAGATTTGAGCTTTGGAGCTCTTGGAATCGGTGAAAACAACTTAATGTATTGAGCTGTTGAAACTCGGGCAAACACGGCGTGGTGGCAATCCAACACGGCGTGTGGCCGGGATTTTTCCCGACTGATTGGATGTTGGCGGAACACGGCGTGGCCAAGGGGCAACACGTTGTGTTTGGTTAACATGGACTGTTGACTTTGAATTTGACCAGAAGTTTGATCAAGGTTGACCATGGGATATTTGGCCCATGTTTGGGCCTTTTGGATTGTAGGTTTGGGCTTTAGTCTTGGACCGAACTAGGTAAGGGGTAAAATGGTCTTTTACTCAAATTATGGACTGATGGTTATGGA